ACGTCATCCGCGACATGGCTGCGTCGGCAAGCGCGCCATCGCGCAGCGCCAAGGAGTTCGCATCCCCCCTTAGAGACGAATCAATATCTCTGTTGTGCGCTGCGGACGAGGCCCGCAAGGTCTCGCCCGAGATGGACTAGGGGAAAGCCTTCGCGGGGCCGCTCCCCTCACGGGGGGCAACTTGCCGAGAAGAGGCACGCCGCTGCGAAACAGGTCAGCCGCGCCCGGGTCGCCGTAGCACGTTATGTGGAGCAACTCGGCCAAAAAGCGGCCCGTTGACGCCGTCGGAGATGGCTCTCGTCGCTTCGCCCGCACCATCGAACCAGCGTTGCACTGATCCGTCCCGGCGGAGCGCGTGGTCCCAGTCTTCCAGGCGCGACAACACGTTGTCTCGGTGGCGCATTACTTCAGCGCATCCCATGGACGCTTCCCATTCAATGGCGCCCCGCACATCCCCCCCGATACCCCGTGAAGGCGCGGTAGGAAAACCATATTTGATTGCATTGGTAATAAATTCAAGATTCTTCTCGTCGCCCGCGACGAGCTTGCCTGCCGCGCGACGGGCCGCGGCGCTTGCGCGCCTCGAGTCGCGGATGGACCGCGGCGTCGCCTTTCGAATGTTCGCGAGTCATGCCCGTCGCGGGCGGGCCCGCGCGGGCGGAACCTCCCGGCAATGCTGCCGGCGTAGGCGGCGCAGCGCGCACCCCCGCCAAGTTGGCGGCCTTTAGAAACGCAGCGCCGGCGCGCGCGACGATCGTTTGGACGCGCCGCGCGGGGGGCCTCAAGCTCCGCGGGGAAATCTGCGATTAGCTCGACAGCCTCGCCCCCGTGGCATTCAAATGCCACCTCCGGGCTCTGAGCAACGCCTGCTAAATAGACTGGGACCGACGTCGCGCGCGCGCGGAACACGCTGCGCCCGCCGGGCGCCGCGCGGGCGCCGCGCGTCAAGTCAGCGTTCCTGACATCTGGCCCTCTTAGCCCGCGGCTCTTCGCAGTCACCGCGATCGCCCCCCAGCGCGGCAGAGGCCTTGCCCTTGCTGGCGCCCTTTGCGCTCTCGCCGTTGCCCTTGCCGCCGCCGGCGTCACCTTCGCCGCCTTTGCCCCCGCGGAATGCCGCGCGCCCCCCGGCATCTCTGTCGCACTCAGCTTCCGCTGTCTGGAGCAAAATCGCATCATCCGCAGTGACGGCCGTCTCAATGTCGAGCGATTCGTCGCCCCCAACAGACCTCTCAGCCCAGCTGCGCCGGCAGCACTCATCATATGCGAGCGCCAGCTGGCCGCCCCGATTGGCCCACGGCACCTGCGCGGCCACCTGGCGCGGGCCGCGCGAAGAACACACGCGTCGCGCGACCCCTTTGCGCTTGGCGAATCGCGAACCTTGAGGACAATCTGACGGTGGCTGACTGTTGCGGCCAACGACATCTGACCGGCGCAGACGCTGGCTATGGCGCACCTGCGCGCAGGCGACAGCCGCGCTTAGTTGCGCGCGCAGCGCGAGCAAGTTGTCGCGCACATCTCGAACGCTGAGTGCCATTGCGAGAAGGTCAACGATCTGGATTTGACCGAGCTGACGGCGCCCTCGCCCTCCTTCACGCCTTTGACCCCTGCCCACATGGGGAAGAATTTCTTTAAGTCTGAATAAACAAAGGGGCGTTTGACGCCGCAGCGCAGCAGCTTCTTCACCTCAATGTCTAATGCGTCCACCGCCGCGACATGCGGCCAGAAAAGGCTGGTCTAAGTCCTTTAGGGGACCGCTCTTCAACGTCCCATGTAGGTCGACGCGAGACCAAAGTTCGGCCGCAGCCCCGCCGCGGGGCGCGCTGGCAGCCGAGGCCGAGCCCGACGCGCGCCGCTCCTCCTCGAGCAAGGTCTTCGCGTAGGATATTATCCTGGCGAGGAAGGACCGCTTGCCTGTAGTCAGATCGCCCGTCAGCGACTCCGCGGCTGCGAAAGCCACATCGCGCACGGACGTCAGCTTGTTCTCCTCTGCAAACAAGCAGGCGCGCCATCGCAGCACCCGCGGGCGGACGCGTCGCCTGGCAAGCGCGAGCAATTCGCAATCCACTCTCCGCCGCGTTTGGCATCGTCATGAGATGCCAGAAATCCAAGCAAAGACACGGCCAGGTTGGGCGTTTCAACGGCCATCTTGCCGCGCGCCACGCGCCGCACTTGCCGCAAAGGCGCACGCCCGCCTCGACTTCTGTCCGCGAAACTGCCTGCACTCGCGCGGAACCGCACCGCGCGTTGCCGCACGCTTGAGCTCGACGACACATTCGCATTGAGCGGAGTCGCAGCCCCGATCGCCTAGGTTGGTCATGTCGACACGATCGTCTAGACAGGGTCACGAAGACACCGAACGGTCGACACACGGTCGCTTGACACGATCTAAGAATTATACGCGGTCACATCACACGGTCGCGCGTTTGGCACAATTGGCCAAATAAGGGACTCTTGGCCGCGTCGTGGCGCCCCTGGCTGCGTTTGGCACTCTTGGCCGCGTTATGCACGTTTCACTGCGTTTAGCACTCTTGGCCGCGTAAGGCACTCTTGGCCGCGTTTGGCACTCTTCGCCGCGTTTGGCACCCTTGGCCGCGTTACGCACTCTAGGCCGCGTTTGGCACCCTTGGCCGCGTTTGGCACTCTTGGCCGCGTTTGGTACTCTAGGCCGCGTTTGGCACTCTTGGCCGTGTTTGGCACTTTAGGCAGCGCTTGGCACTCTTGGCCGCGTTTCGCACTCTTGACCGCGTGAGGCACTCTTGGCCGCGTTTGGCACTCTTGGCCGTGTTTGGCACGTCAAGCCGCGTTTGGCACTCTTGGCCGTGCTTGGCACTCCTGGCCGCGTTCGGCATTTTAGGCCGCGCTTGGCACTCTAGACCGCGTTTTGGCACTCTTGGCCGCGTTTGGCACTCTGGGCCGCGTCTGACACTCTTGGCCGCGTTTGACACGTTCGGCCGCGTTAGGCACTCCTGACCGCGTCAGGCACTCTTGGCCGCGTTTGGTGCGCGCCCCTGCGCCGCGCGTCGTGCGCGGGGGTATGTTTACCCTCCCCCCACCGCGGGGAGAAAGTCATGAAGGGAACCAAGACCCAGAACACGAAGTACACGAGGACCTCTGCGCGCCCCCCATCTGCCAACCTCTTACCCAACCGCCCCACCCGCCACCCCACCCCACCCGCAGGCCGCGCGGCGATTCGCGGTGCCCGCGGCGGGGGGGGAGAACGGAGAAACGCTGCTAGGTACGCGTGTTTGTGACAACGAAAAAAATGCGTAGTGTTCTACCCCATCACCAGCATCATCATCATCATCATCATCATCATCATCATCATCATCATCATCATCATCATCATCATCATCATCACCGTCATCGTCACAAGCATCATCATCACCATCAGCATCATCATCATCATCATCATCATCATCATCATCATCATCATCATCATCATCGTCATCATCATAATCATCAGCAGCAGCAGCATTCTCAGTACCATCATAATCATCATAATCATCATCATCATCATCATCATCATCATCATCATCCTCATCATCCTCATCATCATCAGCATCAGCAGCAGCAGAATCATGATCATCATCACTATCACCATCAGCATCAGCAGCATCAGCATCATCATCAGTATCATCGTCGTCACCCCTTCTCGTATATCGTTCGTTGCAACTGTCTCTGCTCCTCGTCCTCCTGTTTCTCCTCTCCCTCCTCCTCCTCCTCTTCTCATCCTCTTTACCTGATACTCCCGCTCCACCTTTCCTGACACCTCCTCCTCCTCCTCATCGTCTTCCTTAGTTGCCTCATCCTTATCTGATCCTCCCTCTCCTTGTCCTCGTCATCCTCCTCAGCCTCCGCCTCCTCCTCCTCCTCCTTCTCCTCCTCCTCTGGTCCTCCCCTCTTCCTCATCCTCCCCTTTCCTGTTTCGCAAAGCCCCGAAGCCGAGCCCATTCCATCTACCCTCCCACTCCTGCTCGCCACACCACCAGACGTGTCAGGGGGGGGGGCAGATGTTTCGCTTGAGAGATCAAACCATTATTGACCTCGAAGCAAGTGCACAACAGCTGCACGAATATAAAGCGGATAGCTCTGAAAATCTAGCTATCACATTAGCGTCGCGACCACCCGACTCTTCAGATCCCAGTGCTCAAACTGATAAAGTGCGGATCGTTTTTAACATGTTGATATGGCCCTGGCCCCACGCTCATTAGTGTTCAAAGTGCCGAGCAATCACAAGGCCGAGCTAGTGGTCCTTCTCCTTCCAAAAATCGGCGGCATGCACCCACCAAGACATCCGCAAGTCCTGCCTGACTGGTGTTGGCCTTCGCGACTCTGCTGTCGACCGCGATATCCTTCCTGCTACTACCGACAGTGCCAACAGAAAAGCGTACCTGTGGGGGTTACTTGCGGTCCCTGGCGCCTCCACCATTTCGTGTTCAAGAAAAATAGCGGGCGTAACAGTGTGTAGTGGTCAACCGGCTCGGCAACGGCACTCGTGTCAACATGTGCTGAAATCACAGCGCTTGAACAAATGCAAACCAATATCTCTCCTACTGTAAAATCGTCTCTACCGTGCCTGCCAGAACAGATTCGAAAAGAACCGCAACCTTCTCATCAAAGATGTTAACCTCGTCTCCCTTGCGCACCAGTCGACCAAGCGGAGAAGGAAAAAAACATCCTGGCAACACACATAACAAAAAACTTGATCGAATTGGTCTCGCGCCACTTGAGCCCGCACTGAGTCATCACTCCTTCTCGAGCCAGAAAATTCGTGATGATGATGGTGGTGATGATGATGATGATGATCGCGAACATCATCATCAACATCAGCGGCATCAGCATCAGCATCAGTATCGTCATGATTATCATAATCACCACCACCACCATCAGCGTCGTCGTCATCATAAGCATTGGCATTTTCATCGGTATCATCATCGTCGTCGTCATCGTCGTCGTCGTCGTGATCGTGATCGTCTACCTGGCCGATCTAGGGGCGGCGCATGGCTCCCAGGCGCGGGCGGCGCTGGCGCCGCGTGGTCTGCGCATGGGTCCGCCCAGCGCCGGCTCAGGAGGGACGGCCACGGCGCGGGAGCAGCGAGGAGGTGCGGGGAGGGCGAGAACGGAGAGGGGGGGGGAGGAGGAGCGAACAGGGAGGAGGGAGCGGAGGAGGGAGGAGGAGCGAGGCGAGAGAAAAAGAGGCAAGAAGAAAGAGCGACGAGCGGAGCGAGGGGCAGGGACGAGGAGGACGAGGAGGACGATGATCACGAGCAGGGGGCGCCAGGAGGGAGAGTGGGAGGAAGAGTAGGAGGAGAACCAGGGCCAACCTGGGATGCATCAACGATGCCGTGTTACACCCTCACGTCCCAAGTCCCGCCCACATTCAGGAGGGGAAAAAACACACAGGCACAATGAATCGTCGATTCCCCAGAAAATGCGAGAATATATGGGGAATCCTGTTATTTGTGCATATTTATTTGTGTGGGCCACGGCCCTTTCACACAGGTGGTACTCACCCAAGATGCATCAACGATGCCGCGCTACACCCTCCCTCCTCCTCCTCCTCCTCCTTCTCCTGATCCTCTTTGTTTTGTTGTTATTTTATTATTGCTCTGATTATTAGTATGAGTAGTATTATTATTAGTAGTAACATTGTTATGAATATTAGTATTAATATTCGTATGATTATTGTATTATTATTGTTAACGATATTAGTAATGAAGTGGTTGTATTGTTGTTATTGATAGTATTAACCGTATGTGTATTGTCAGTATGGTTAGTAGTACTAGTTGTATCAGTGTGATTATGTGTGTTAGTCTTAGTATTAGTATTGTTACTCGTATTACTATTGCTCGTTATCTTAATCCGATGATTGTTAGTGGTATAAGTATTCTTAGTAGTAGTATGATTATCATGATTCGTTTTCCTCGTCGGTTTCAAATCGTTCGTCTTATTATGTTGTATCGTCTTCTTATTGCTGTGATTATTATTGAGAATATTAGTGTTCGTCTTATGCTTATGCTTCTGCTTCTGCTCCTGTGTCTGCTTATGCTCATGATTATGAGTATACTTATGTTTATGTTTCTGTGTTGTTTATGCTTCTGCTTCTGGTTCCACCTCCTCCTCTTCTTCTTCTGCTTGTTTTTACCAATATCCCTCTTCATCCTCCTCCTCTTCCTCCTCTTCCACCTCCTCCTCCTCCTCCTCCTCCTCCTCCTCCTCCTCCTCCTCCTCCTCCTCCTCATCCTCATCCTCATCCTCTTCCTCCTCCCCGTCCTCCTCCTCCTCCTCCTCCTCCCCTCCTCTCCTCCAACTCCTCCGCCTCCTCCTCGTCCTCCTCCTCCCTCTCCTCCTCATCCTCCTCCTCCTGCTCCTCCTCCTCCGCCTCCTCCTCCTCCTCCTCCTCTCTCCTCCTCCTCCTCCTCCTCCCTCCTCCTCCTCCCCACCTCCTCCTCCTCCGCCTCCTCCTCGCTTCTCCTCCTCTCCTCTCCTCCTCCTCTTCCTCCTCCTCCGCCTCCGCCTCCACCTCCTCCGCCTCCTCCTCCTCCTCCGCCTCCTCCTCCTCCTCCTCCTCCTCCTCCTCCTCCTCCTCCTCCTCCGCCTCCGTCTCCGTCTTCGCCTCCGCCTCCTCCTCCTCCTCCTCCTCCTCCTCCACCTCCTCCTCCTCCTCCTCCTCATCATCATCATCCTCCCCCTCCTCCTCCTCCTCCTCCGCCTCCTCCTCCTCCTCCTCGCCTCCGCGAGGCCGGAGCCGGCGGCGGTAAATCAAAGGTGCGTGGGACCAGCGCCGGGGGTGCTCCTGACACCCCTGCCTGTTGGCCTCGGGGGAGACAACAAAAAACGAGAAAGGCCAGGTGCGGGGCTGGAACGCGGGGGCGAGCGCCGAGGGTGTTCTTGACACCCCTTCCCGCTGGAGTCGGGGAGACAGCCAAAAAGGAGAAAGGTGCACGGGCGCGGGGCTGGAGCGCGGGGGCGAGCGCTGGGGTTGTGCTGGGGCGGGGCCGGGGGCTGTAAATTAAAAATGCGGGCGGGGCGAGCGCCAGGGGTGCTCCTGACACCCCTGCCCGTTGGCTTTGGGAAAACAACCAAAAAAAAATAAAAAACTAGCTGGAGCGCGGGGCTGGGGCCAGCGGCGGAAAATCACAGGCGAGCGGGGTGGGCGCCGATGGTGCTCCTGACACCCCTGCTTGTGGGCGTCGGGGAAGCCAGCAAAAAGGGTGAAAGTGCCTCGGACCCGGGCTGGGGTGCGGGCCTGGGCGCTGAGCATGGGGCCGGCGGGTGCTAATCAAAAGGAGCGCGGGGCGAACGCGAGGGGTGCTCCTGACGCCCATATCTGTTGGCCTCGGGCAACGTGATTGTCGCTCCCCCCCCGGCTGGAATGCCGATGCCTCGATGCCGATGGCGGAGGCAAAACATGCAACCCAGGAGGGCTTGTGACTTGAGAGTGCACAGCCCAGGAGGCCTCGGGGTACGAAAATTCGAGAAGAGAGAGAAAAACCAAAACAAAAACAATTATAGCCGGAGTGCAGTATCCCCAAACAGGGTTTTGTAGACCCACTGCGGTTTCCAAGGTCGATTGCGTGCCCGTCCAGTGCGGGCTGGCATGGCATGTTAAAACATGCCTCCTCCTCCTCCTCCTCCTCCTCCTCCTCCACCACCTCCATCCTCCTCCTCCTCTCCCCTCCTCCTCCTCCTCCTCCTCCCCTCCTCCTCCTCCTCCTCCTCCTCCAACCTTTCCCTCCCTCCTCTACCTCCTCCTCCTCCTCCTCCTCCTCTTCATCACGAACGGCATCTCGGAGCCCAAGTAGGTTTGCGAGGATGTCTCCAGCGTAACGGGCTGGACCACCTCGCGCGCGGCATATCGGACCCCAGAGTTGCGACGAGGTCTCGGGCGAAACGTGGTGCGAGGAAGTCTCAGGCGAAACGGGCCGGACCACCTCGAGCGCGGCGTCTCAGAGCTCCGAGTTGCGGGGGCCTCCTGGGCCTCCTGGGACCTCCTGGTGACCTCCTGGGGCTTCCTCCTGGGCCTCCTGTGGCCTCCTGGACCCCACCTGGGGCTTCCTGAAGCCTCTTGGGGCTCCCAGGGGGGATATCTAACATGTGGCCGTCGGGGCCCCCCAAAATGGGGGGGGGCACACGAGCAGGAAAAATCAACTTATCGGCACCGGATGTGTATTAACTTGACACGTTCTGATAGAGGGCCTCCTGGGGCCTCCTGGGAGCCTCCTGGGAATCTCCTGCGGACCCCTGGGGCCTGTCCTGGGCGTCCTGCGGCCTCCTGAAGCTCTCTGGGGCCTCCTAGGGCCCCCAGGGTCCCAGGGGGGATATGTAACATGTGGTCTTCTGGGCCCCCAGGCTGGACCACCTCTTGCGCAGCATCTGAGAGCTCAGAGTTGCGAGAATGTCTTGTGCGAAACGGGTCCGTCGACCTCCTTGAGCACGCTATCTTCAGGCTCAGAGTTGCGAGGATGTCTCAGGCGAGATGTGCTGGACCACCTCGCTAGGGTTTTCAGGCGAGGGGGCGTTGCTAAGGATGTCTCCAACGTGAGGGGTGGATCACCTCGCGCGCGGCATTTCGGACCCAGAGTTGCGACGATGTCTCGGGCGAAACGTGCTGGCGAGGAAGTCTCAGGCGAAACGGGCCGGCCAACCTCGAGCGCGGCGTCTCAGAGCTCCGAGTTGCGGGGGCCTCCTGGGGCCTCCTGGGACCTCCTGGTGACCTCCTGGGGCTTCCTCCTGGGCCTCCTGTGGCCTCCTGGACCCCACCTGGGGCTTCCTGAAGCCTCTTGGGGCTCCCGGGGGGGAGCTCTAACATGTGGCCGTCGGGGCCCCCCAAAACTGGGGGGGGGGGGTGGCCAGAAGAGCAGGAAAAATCAACGAATCGACACCGGATGTGTATTAACTTGACACGTTCTGATAGGGGGCCTCCTGGGGCCTCCTGGGAGCCTCCTGGGAATCTCATGCGGACCCCTGGGGCCTGTCCTGGGCGTCCTGCGGCCTCCTGAAGCTCTCTGGGGCCTCCTGGGGCTCCCAGGGTCCCAGGGAGGATATGTAACATGTGGTATTCTGGGCCCCCAGGCTGGACCACCTCTTGCGCAGCATCTGAGAGCTCAGAGTTGCGAGAATGTCTTGTGCGAAACGGGCCGGACCACCTTGCGCACGGCATCTCAGAGCTCAGAGTTGCAAGGATGTCTCAGGCGAGACGGGCCGGTGTCTCGGGCGAAACGCGCTGCGAGGAAGTCTCAGGCGAAACGGGCCGGATCACCTCTCGCGCGGCGTCTCAGAGCTCCGAGTTGCGGGGGCCTCCTGGTGCCTCCTGGGGCCTCCTGGGGACCTCCTGGGGCTTCCTCCTGGGCCTCCTGTGGCCTCCTGAACTCCACCTGGGGCTTCCTGAAGCCTCTTGGGGCTCCCAGGAGGGATATCTAACCTGTGGCCGCTTGGGCCTCTCATAATGGAGGGGGGGGGGGGCCCAAGAGCAGGAAAAATCAACGAATCGACACCGGATGTGTATTAACTTGACGTTCTAGTAGGGGGCCTCCTGGAGGCCTCCTGGGAGCCTCCTGGGGACCCCTGGGGCCTGTCCTGGGCGTCCTGCGGCCTCCTGGAGCTCTCTGGGGCCTCCTGGGGCTCCCAGGGTCCCAGGGGGGATATGTAACATGTGGTCTTCTTGGCCCCCAGGCTGGACCACCTCTTGCGCGGCAACTGGGAGCTCAGAGTTGCGAGAATGTCTTGTGCGAAACGGGCTGGACCAACTTGCGCACGGCATCTCAGTGCGCAGAGTTGCGAGGATGTCTCAGGCGAGATGGACCGAACCACCTCGCGCAGGGCATCTCTGAGCTTAGAAGTTCGAGGATGTCTCAGGCGGGCTCCCAGGGTCCCAGGGAGGATATGTAACATGTGGTCTTCTGGGCCCCCAGGCTGGACCACCTCTTGCGCGGCATCTGGGAGCTCAGAGTTGCGAGCATGTCTGCTGCGAAACAGGCCAGACCACCTTGCGCACGGCATCTCAGAGCTCAGAGTTGCGATGATGTCTCAGGCGAGACGGGCCGGACTACCTCGCGCAGTGCATCTCA